TCTACAATGATGTTTTCAGGTCTACATAAAGCTGCTTGTCCACCTAATTTCTATTCATGTCGTCATGAAGCTAAATGTATTCATCTATCACAATTTTGTAATGGAATTGTGGATTGCACTGATCATTCGGATGAGCATCATAAATGCGAGGAATGTGAGTTCAAAATTAGAATTTTTTAATAAATCATATCAATTAATAGATGACAAGTAAAATGCGTCTAGTTACCTTCGATAATTTACTTAACGCATCAAGTTGGGTAATCACTCCGCCTACCACATGCGACACGACCGCAACGCACATGCTGCGCGTACGCACGCGTGCGAAACATTTTAAAGATTTTAATTAGATTGCACAATTTTTTGTGAAACCCATCTTATTTCTACTACCCTGATTCAGGGCATAATATCACCTGTCACTATGGAGTTGGCCTAACCTACGATGGTCCTGTGTGCTATTGTCCAACAGACCAAATTTCTCAAGGTGACAGTTGTGTGGCTGAGGACAAATGTGGCCGGAGATTTAAAGGTGCGAGTTTTGCGAAAGCAATGGAGATAAATGTAGATGAATATGTTCCAGGTCATCCCCCAATTTGCTCACAAATGTGTCAAAATTTGCCAAATGGTATAACGGAATGCGATTGTTATGAGGATTTTAGGCCTAATGGAAGTTACTGTAATCCTCGTGAGTTTCCTACTGATCAATCAATAATATTAATCAATATATCTAGCACATAGTTTTAGGTGAAACAATTGGTAGTTTTGTGGCAGTATTGGGAAACATGTTTGTGATGACATCAACTATTCAATGGGAAAGTTTCCCAACGAAGTTCCAAAGGACAATCAATCAGAATAGAAGGATGATAGCAGCAGCTGCTGACACGAAAAGAAATTGGATTTGTTATGTAATGGCTGCCGTAAAAGCGGTATGGCTGCTTTTATTCGAATTGCAGATGAATTGGACGAGTTTGCATAACAAAAGCTTCTCGTCTTTTAGGACCCATTAACCTATGCTTTCATGGAGTGTTCGAGTATCGCTAAGAAAGCATCAAAAATTGTGGAAACCGACATTACTGCAAGCTTTCCATTGGATGGTAATTTTTTCCTTGAAGTCATCGCATGGGAAAACTCGTCCACATTTTAGACGTTCGCACAATTTATCATGATCCTATTGGTGATAATTGGTTGTTTCTAATTGGACGAACTCGATTGCTCATCTGTAAGAATGAGTTTCCAAAAATGGAAAAATGTCGAATAGTTGTAGATGACGTCGAT